CCGGAGATGGGGGAGGGAAGCATTGGGTTCTGAGCTCCGGAGATGGGGGAGGGAAGCATTGGGCTCTGAGCTCCGGAGATGGGGGGAGGGAAGCATTGGGTTCTGAGCTCCGGAGATGGGGGGAGGGAAGCATTGGGTTCTGAGCTCTGCTAATCTGAACATCTTCTGTACATCTGTGCAATTGTAAAGCCATTCAAATGTCTAGTGAGAGAAGTTGTTCAAATCAGAACATTTTCAGGTAATGAAGAAGTCACAGCAAAGCCTAGCCTTGCAATTTTACTCTTGGGACTGACTTGATCAGAAATCAGTGCCTGGAAGCAAAGAGCCCTTTCTCCCAACCTTGAAGGAAGGCCTCCCGGCAACGTGGGCTGGCCTCAGCTCCCAGGTAATGTGAAGGTTGAACCAATTGGCTTGAGCAACTGTCAACCCAGTGGACCCCTGCCCTATACGTAACCACCGCACTACCCAGCGCCCCTGCCCCTCCTGCCCCCAGGACTTTAGCAACGTCTAGAGGCATGTTGGGTTTCCCCTCTTGGGGAGGGGGGGGGGTGGTCACTGCATCTAGACCGGGGAAATGCCCAACTCCCTGCAATGCGCAGACAGGGCCAGCCACAGCAGAGACTGTTCTAGAGCCCAGACCCCAAATCCATTTGTCTGCGGCTGAGAGACCTTGCCTCGGAGGACAGAAAAGGCTCCTCTTGGTGCTGAGCGCAGCCGTCCCACACAGAGCAGGAACTGGAGTGCTCAGGGTACCCCGAGCAGGGCAAAGGGTCCCCGACTCCAACAGCTGTCTCAGCTCCAAGGAGAGACGACTTTGACAAAAGCAGAAGACCGGAGAGTTACAAGGATGTTTAGTTTGTGATAAAAATCATTTTGCAGATTAAAGTGCTTCCTTCTGCCCGTAAAATGGTATGTTCTTTAAATAACTAAAAAAATCAGAGGCATTTAACTGCATTTCTAGCAAAAGGCCCAACTGCCCCTCGGAGCAGGCCAATTAAACCCTTCCTTGTAATCAGGCCGCTGCACTGTAGGCAGTGCTGCCCATCAGACTTGCTCCAGGGGGCTTGGAATTCCTCTGCTTTGGCCGGCCTGCATGAAGGGATTCAGGGGGTGGGGGTGGAGGGGGTGCAGGCGCCAGTCTTTCTCTCCAAGTAGCTTGAGTCCCCTCTCCGTCTCCTTTCCACGGGAAGCACGGCGGCCCACACACCTAAACTGAAGCCCTCTCACGGACAGCCCACGTAGGGAGAGGGAGGCTCTCTCCCAGAATCCTCAGCATCGTCCCAGTGTGTCGACTTCGCTGTGATTGGATCATTTGTTTTTCCCTGAGCCAGTGCCGTGGCTGGGAGTGTGCTGGAAGCTGGTTGGCTGACGTCTAAGTTATATGCGGCATAAGCTTCAGCTCCTGGGCCAAGTGGGGCGAATGGATTCCTGAAAGAGAAATTGAGATACGGCATTAGAAGGAGAATGATGCCCGAGAGAACCCCCCACACACACTGGCCTCTGTTCCTACACTCGGAGGTGAGACCCTCCTTGGGTCTTGGCCATGAACTTGCCATTACCTCACCTCGGAACGTGAGGCAGAGCCCTAGCCGGGTACAAATGGCAAACACACTTGGCTGTGAACCAAGAGGTTTGGAGCTTTGAGCTCTCCCAGGGGCACGTGAGAAGAAGGGCCTGGGGGTGGATTTCTGAAAACACGTCGCTGAAACCCACCCTGCCTGTGCAGCGCCTTCCCTTCCGTCCTCCGTGGGGGTCGACCGGACACCAGCGGGCTTCACTTGCCCTGTTTTCCCCAACATGGAAGGAAGCCGTCGTCCTACCGGGATGGTTGTGGAAGACCAAGCAAGTCTCTCGGGATAGCGGCGGCGGCGGGGTGGTGTCTGGTGAGAGTGGGTTCACTTCAGCTCTCGAGTCCAGAAGAATCGAGGGCAGCAACAGAACCCACCCAGCTAGTCCCACCGGCCTTCAGAAACCAGTGGCTAAATTTATCCCAGTCCTCATTGGCGCTGGTCACTTTGGGAACCCTCCTGAGGTCAATGACTGAGGTAATTGGCTTGTCTTGTACCTTGGAAAGGTCTCTCTGTTAAATGACATAATTGGTTTTAATTACATAATGATGGCACTTAACATGTGTGTAAAGGTTACTATTATATTTAGAAGTGAGATCCCCCCAAAAATGCAAGGGCTGCCAGCCAGAGGTTATTTGGATTCCTCTCTCTGTTTTGGCAGCAGGGAGTCTGAGTGGCGGCCTTGGCCCAGAGGTCGGCTGGTTTGGGGGTGATTATCCCGTGTGAGCAACACCAGGCTGCTCAGGCGGGATCCTAGGGACCTGTGTAAAGGGACGGAAATGGCTTCCGCACCGAGCTCACTGCGATCGCCGTTAATGAGCAGTGGGGACTCAGCTGTCAGCAATTGGATCTGATTGGGCAGGGTAATTGCACGATTGCCCTGGTGTGTGCACACACACGGGGAGATTTTTATTGGGGGGGAAAAAACCTAATTGCTTACTTACTGAGTGGAGCGAAGACCGACACCCATCCGTGTGGTCATCGGTTAAGAAGACGTCCTTTCTTTGTCTGAAGGAGCTGCCCACTCTTCTTCTCAGAATTGGGCTCTGATTCCCTCGGTGCTCAGCCGGGCACATTTGTGGGACTGGCTTCTCCCCCACGATATCAAAATGTGTTGCGGAGCTCCTCTGGGCTGTGTGTGTTTGTTTAAAGGACCATGTGCTTACTGCAGAGTCCCCTACCGTCCCCCACAATGGGCTCTTTCAAAATGCAAGGCCAGCCAGAAGCCCAGGCACCCTGCCCCCAGGACTTTCACAGGTTTTTGTGCCCCCCCCCCAATCTGCATGGTGAGATTGGCTTTGGGAGCTCCTGGCTTTCCTGAGTGCTTAAGGCTGGGGAGGAATGTGGGGGGTGGGGGGGACTAGCCTGGCCCAGGGTAGCCTTTGTAGATGTAATGCCAAGGGCCAGAGCAGCAAAGAGCCACCTCTACTTCCCTACAGCCTTTGCAGCAGCTTGGCATAAGAGGACAGACACCAGCTCCCCCACATTGGGGGTGAGGTCGGGTGGGAGCTGGTAATGGAAGGCTCTGACTTGTCTGTTTCAGCAGCCTGAGGCTGGGGACTCTGAGGAGCCACCGCTGAGGCTCCTGTGTTCTACAGCCACCACGAGACTCCGCATTCTTCTCTCCCTGCCTTCCACCTGTGGGAAGGGACCATCCTTTTCCAAGGCCCTTCCTCTCTGCAATGCAATAGGGACACGTGCAAGCACAGTTGGGTTGGGGGACTCGAAGGGGCACCTTGTGGTAAGGGCTCCACACTCCGTGAAGCCCGTGCTTGGTGGCTGACCGTGGGGTGGTTGGATAACTGGGAACAAAGGGCTTCAGCTCCGAATATTGCAGGTGCCCCCATCCCATCCAGTCTGGTCTGGCTAACTCCCACGGGTCCTTAGGGTTCAGAGCAAATGTCTCTTCTTCCAGGAAGCCTTCCCTGACTCCCCCACCCCATCCTTCCCTCCAGCTGGTGTTGGCTGCCTTTGCTGTGTGCTCCACAGCGTCCGCTAGCACTCCTTCCCACGTGTGCCTGTAACAACTTGTCTCGTGATCTGTCTCTCAAACAGCCCACTGGCTCCGCCAAGGCAAGGGCTGTTGCTGATACTTGCTGTGTGCCCATGCCTGGCCCTGTGTGCAGCCTAAGTGTGCTCGGAAAGTCTGAGTGAGGAAAGGAATGGTTGCTGAGTGCCATGTGTCGCATCGGCAAGCACGGTGGCGTGTGCTGTCTGGGCCCCCCCCACCCCACACACACACACTGCTTTTCACACCATTCTCTTGTTACTTGTGGTTTTCATCCCTAGATGACCCATCTCTGTCGGAGGCACGGAGGCACAGCCAGCTCTCACACTGTACATTGATCACCTGTCCAACCTTTGCCTAGAGCGGGAGCCCCCAGGTCCTTCAAGAGAGCCACCTTTACCTGTCTGTAAAGAAGAGGAGGAGGAGGAGGGAGACAGCGGGCACATCGCTGGTGCACCCGAGCAGGTTCCATGCGTACTTGCACCCTGTTGGAGGTGGGTAACCGCAGATGTCGGGGGGGGGGGGTGTCCCAGAGGCTGCCGACTGGCCTCAGAGGAAGGTGTCTGCCACAGACATCGTGTCGTCTTTCCCTGAGTGCAGGGCTGGGTATCTCTGACCGAGGGGCGGGTGCCGTAACGGTGCTGCTGTGATGACATCTACTACTCGCTTCTCAAGGCTGAGTTCCGAGCCTTTCTTGTTTGGGTTTGGGAGTCTTGGTTTGGTATGGTTGGCTAGACTTTCATCCCTCCACCCCCTCAGTCAGCCTCTCAGACCCTGCGGTACAGAATACCAACGGAAAAGAGGGGAGTTCTCTGATGGTAGTTGGTGTAACTTATAACTGATGGCTCTTCCACGGTGTATAGTCAGTACTATTCTGTCTACACAAAACAAGGTGCCGAGCCAGCTTTTTCCCTAAGCAGAACTGGAACCTATGACCTTGTAACTACGGAACAGAGGGCTTCCTCTTGAGCTTCTAAGCTCCCAGCTCGCACTGGGCGTTGCCCGCCCCTTGTGGATCAAGCTGCATTCATACGTTCTGTGCAGATAGGCCCTTTGAAGCGGAACCTGCAGTCTCACACATGGGGTGGCAAAGTGAGCCTATGGAGACTGAGGACCAGTAGCTTTGCCACGTGTGTCTTGCATAGCTGTCTGCACACAGCGCCCCACTGGGGTCTGGAGTGTATCCTTCCACCAAGTCTGAGTGTCTCCAGCCTCCCTTCCAAGCCATGGACTCCGCAGACCTGAGTTTCATTTCTGCTTTGGCATCACCACCACATGCATGCATGGGAAGCTCTGGAAGTGTAATCCAGGAAGAGAGTTGCAATCAACGTCTTCTGTTGTGGGTGTGTTCACCAACACCCGCTCTTTGAAATGTAGCGTGGCTGACGTCAGATTTCTCCCTGAGTTCTAAGGGAGAAAAGAATTGCGTTGAAAAATGTTCACTACATCTCAAACAACTATTTAAAGGAACAATTCTTTTTGGGATGTCTCTCCATCATCTGACATATTTGCTGGCGTGGGGCAGGCAATTGGTATCCGCACAAAGAAATCACATTCTTTTGCAAAACAAAACTGAAGTCAAACCCAAGCCTACTACCACACACACACACACACACACACACACACACACACACACACACACATCCTCAAGTGATGTTGACTTTGTAATGAACCTTAGCAGATGTAGACGGTGAAGTGACTCGCCTCGTCTCTTTGCTGTCAGAGTGCCCGGGTGCCTCGGCTTGGTTTTTGGTTAGTGCCACATGATAAAAAAGAAGCCCTTAAAGAAAGATGAAAATAAATGGTTGGCTCTTGAGGTCGCGCTAAAACCACGGATGGTCTCTAGGGATGTAGGAGACGCGTTCCTGTCCTTCAACCATGGATGTACCCCACAAAGGGCAGGGAATGCTGGCCTTCAATGAGGGGTGTCTGGACCAGCAGCATCCCTGTTGGAGATGCAGATTCTCCAGGCCAATCCAGGCCCACTGAATTCCAGGCGGTGCTGGAACCAGCCTGCGGGTCACCAACACCTGGTCGGTAGGGTCTGTGGGGATGCCGGTGCAGGGTGCACTACCCTGCTGCGCCGGAGCTCCTGATTGAATCAGGGTAGTGATGCACAGGCCCACATTGCTGCAGACACTGCCCCAGCCCCCCAGGCAGCGCCCTGTCTACCTGGACTCAGTCTGAATGCTTGGCGGTGGTCTAAATGTCCTTCGTCTCCTGCCTACCTGGCTGTGGCATTTCCTCCTGTCCCAGTGCCCTGCCGCCCCAGCCTTCTCTCTGCCTCCCAGACACCCTTGGAGTGTGCCTATAGAATGCAGCCAAAGGGAAGTGGAACAGAGAGCGATAAAGCTTCAGTAACGGTTTCAATCACTGATATCGCATGCCACGCGGTAAACTGTGTCTAAGCTAATGCCCCCATGGGTAATGTAACATAATTTAATATATTGGTAGTTACATGCATTGCTGTGGTGGTATACGGTGGTATACCAGCTGCCTGAATGGAGTTGGCGCTTCATTAAGAACAGAGTTTAGATTACTCTCGCTGTGGTGTGGTTTCATTGATGTCCTGCTGAAAGCCAGCCCGCCACAGGGCTGGGCCACAGTGGGGCCTGAGATACTGGGTGTGAATTGGTGTGTGTGGCACCAGCAGGCGGGTGAGACCAATGTATGCGTTCACCACTGTCACTGCCCTTACATGCAAGATGCCCGCCATGTTCACTGGACTGCCCTTTTTAAAAACGGATGGATGCTAAATCAACTCCGTTGGAAATGAGAACCATTGTGTGGTTGGTTTTTTTAATAAAGCACTTGCTTGCATTTCTTATGGCGAGATCAGAATGTGAGACCTGTGTGTGTGCTTTTCATAATGAAAAGGGGCAGGGACCACAAGTTTTGAGCCTGCCAAGTGGAAGTGGTGGGAATCAAGGTGGGAGTCGAGGCAGAGAGGGGTCCTCAAAGGCCGAGAGCACCAGGCCCGAGGACATGGGCAATCGCTTTTGCTTCCTTTTGTGGTCCACTGGTCAAGCTCCTGTGGAATTACAATTATGTCACTTGGGGGATGGGCATGATTTGCTCAGTAGGAAGCCTCCCATCTGAGATCCCCAACAACAGAGGAGCTGAAGGCGGATTTGGAGGTGCCATCCAGGACAAGGGCACCAAGGGTTGGCATGCGGTGCCATCGACAAGGGGGGGGGGGGGCGGCTAGGGAGCCTTGCAGTGTCAGCTAACCTTGCAATGATCTCCCAGGAAAGAGGAGGAAGCCCCTGACCACCCCAAGCCCCGTACTGGTGAGGCCGGTTGCCATGGGGTTGATTCTGACTCCGAGCTGCCCCACTGGGCTGTGAGATTACAGAAGCAGGCGGCCACGTCTTTCTCCCGCAGAGCGGCTGGTGAGTTGGAACCCAAGACTTTGTGGAAAGCAGCCCGCACATCCCCACAGTGCCAGGAGGACTCCTCCATTGGTGAGGGAGCACTTCCTGTTTGATGGCAGTGAAGGTGGTCGGTTGAAGTGGCTCGAGAGCACCTGGGAACAAGAGCTGCGGCTGACCAGAGTCCAATCAGCACAGACGTGATTTCAAACAGGTGAAGAGCAGGGAGCCCAGCCTCCCTCGGGGCTGGCTGGAGTGACTTCTATAGGGACATGAGGCTGAGGCAGGACATTGTCTGGAGGAGAGTGTAGGGACAGTCAGTGTCCTGGGGGACTGGCCCCACTCATTGTTCCTCTGCCCAAAGCAGGTCCCACAGCCGAGAACTTCCGTGGCAGCAAACCTGTAAGTGTCCTTCAGGCCCCTGCCGAGTGGAGCCGGGGCAGGATGTGTCTCTGACCAAGAATGAGGTTCTCACTGTCCAATTACAGCACATTTGGGAGTTCCCAGGAGAAAATGGAGGCGTTCCACTTCAAAACCTTCCACTTCCAGAAAGAGCCACCTTCTCCGACACCCACAGGGGCAGTCCCACCCTGCCCTGTAGGGTCGCTGTGAGTTGGCATGGATGGTGGCGGTGAGTGAGGGGCTCTGGCAGAGGAGGGTGTTACAGGGTGGCTGCTCACCCCAGGGTCAGTCGTTCAAACCACTAGCTGCTTGAGGGAGAAAGAGGAAGCTCAGATTAGAACCCGTGGTCTCAGAAGCCCTGCGGCGCAGTGGTCCTCTGCCCCGCGAGGATGCAGAGAGTCCTCAGCTCGGGGCAGGAGTCGGCTTTCCTGTTTAGTTATGATTGGGGTGGGGCTACGGGAGGGACCCCATCAGTGCACCATTGGGCTGCCAGTAGCAAGATCTTCGGTCAAACCCACCAGCCCCTCGGGGTGGAGAGAGCGGAGGCCGGGCTGTCTGTCCCCATGCAGATGACAGCATCGGACACCTGCACAGGGTCATTGTGGCAGGTCGACTCCATTGCAGCGGGTTTGGTATTTTGGGGTTTGGATGGTGAGAGCAGTGATGGGCTGGGTTGCTAACCGAAGGTGGGCACTTTGAGTGTGCCAGGAGGCACGTCGAGAGGAGAGAGGCCTGCCCATCACATCTGGGGCAGTTGCTCCCCATCCATCCCCCCCTGCAGGCCTCTCATCTCCCTGAACCCATCCTGGGCTTTGAAAACTTCCACCCCAAATGTGGGTCCAAAGGGGTGCGTGCAGAGCAGAAGGACTCTGAAACACCAGAGGACACCGTGAAAACCCAAATCATGTCCGGGCTTAGCCTCCCAGCTGCCGCAGCAAGCCCGGGTCTGGGCTGAGGAGGTAGAAGGCGGAAACGACTGCTTGGTGTTGTGCACTGGAGCGCCGTCGAGACGGCCGTCTGTGTCTTACGAGATGCTGGCCGGTTTGTTCTCCTTGTGTGGACAAGTAGATCTTGTTGCCAGACAATAGCTCGTGTCTGCCTCGGTAGTCTCCCGGTGTTCAGGAGGCCTTGCTAACCGGCCACATGGGTTTCCACCCGCGTAAACGTATCGCCTCTTCTTGTAGTTTGGACCTTTTCTTCAGGAGCATGTGCTGTATGCAGGCTCTTCCTGCACCATCTGCTGCCCTCCTCTGTGAGCAGACTGCATCTCTGTGCACTTCGATGTTCTCCTTCCCACGGTCGCATTTTATTTCCCGGGGAGTATTTTCTGCAGTGTGGGTTCACCTCTTAGGTGCTTCGGATGCTGATCTCAAGTCTATTGTGTGGGTAACATGGTAGCAGCAGAAGTCTTCTGACTTCAGGGGCATGGCCAAGAACCGTCAGACCATCTGCCAAAGGCCGCTTCAGACCAGTCTCCCCTCTCCAACTTTAATCCCCGATCGTGACACCGGCCATCCGTCCCCGGGCACTCTCCACTGCTCTTCTGAGCGGGATAGTTCGTTGCACAGGGTCCACAGACCGTACTCAGCATTTGGGGGTTCGTCAGGGAGGGAAGAGGTGACCGCTCTGCCTCAGGAGCCCTGGATGGAACAGGAACGACTCAGGAGATGGGATGCAGTGTCTCCAAACAAGACAGCGCTGAGCTCCTTAGCAGCCATGCC